TAGGCACCGGGAAGGGAAGAGTAACTGGAAGGCTCAAATCTTGTACAAAGTGTTAACAAAGGACTACAACCATCCGAAGTGCATCTACAGATATACACAGTTCAGCGGTCACCAATATTTGTGTGTTACTGAAAAACATACTAATTTCAAGTAAATTTTGAAGTGTAGGGCGATCATGCATGCTATACAATGAATGAGAGATCTTTTAGATAAATTCTGCCAATACTATAGCCGAGATTAAAGATGATGAACATGAGTTTTTTTTAAGAAAAGAAGGATGCATGCGGCCATTTTATTGATTATTCTCTAGGACCTTACAAAGTAGAACAACAATATGACTGAATCCGCCATCTTGGCAACATTTGCCGCTACTCCTATCCATATGATGAAGGGGTGCAAGCCGGGCCACAAACCCAGACCTCTACTTAAGCCTAACATCTAAAGCCGGAGACCCGACCGAGCCATCTACCCGGTCTAGGGCACAAACCGGTCTGACACACTCACATGTGTCGTCGTCACCGTCTTCCACTGGTCCATCTTCATAGCAGATTGAGGTGTCAACCTTAGCAGGTCCTCTGCCATCGACGCCACCACGACGCCAAACGACGACCTCCACCTACGCGAGCCTTGGAAGGTCTTCCGTCATGGACGCCACCATGACGCCAAACGATGACCTCCACCTACGCGAGTCCATCTCCAAGCAACGGACTTAGATCCATGCTAGGATAGGTCCGCACCACCGCCGTTGCCCACCACCCACAAAGCGCCATCCAACCCCAAGGTTCCCAAAATGGCGTCTTCAAGAAGGTAACGGCGCCGTGAGCGCCGCCGCCACCCAACAAAGTTGGGGATTTCACCCGGGAGACCTAGGGGAAGGGGAAGTGAGGAGATCAGTCCATAGCGAAGCCTCCAAGGAGGGGAACGGCTCCCTAGGCGTCGCCGTCGGCGCGGCCGGCCATGGCCGGCCAGGGATTTCACCCGAACTAGATCCCCGCCACCAGCAGCGCCTCCTGTACAGAACCGGTGTCCAAGGGAAGCGTGGCCCGACCAGGCTGACCCGCACGCCGAACAGGGGAGGAAGGGAGGCGCTAGATCCCGCGCACCGGCCATCGCAGAAGCCGCCGCCAGCGACCAACGGGATCCCGCCGCCCGCGCGGCCAGGACGCCAGATCCACCGCCCGCACGGTGCTCGCCGAAGCCTGTCGTGCCTCGCCAAAGGAGCCGCCGCTCTAGATCCAGAACTCCCCACGCAGAGGCAGGGCAGCCGAGACCCCGTAGCCACCATCCTTGGCGCCCCGGGCTTGCCCGGCGGCTACCTCAGGCGGCGGCGAGGAGGTGGGACGAGGTGGGGAGGGGGCTGGGGCGGCGCGGCTAGGGTTCCCCGCCGCCGCCCGGGGGAGGCGACGAAGGGGTCGCGAGAAGGAGCGTAAAAATTGGGGGAGAATTTCACTTCCCTGGCCCTCTGCACGGGAGTGGATGGAGTAATCTGCAGCAAGCATGCGGACTGAGTCGAAGTATATAGTTATTGCACATGCACGTTGTATTGCTGCACCCAGCGGTTCCACCAACATTAGTCAATCACACCTCTTCTGTTCAGCTGGCGCTACTACTCCTCAATTGCCATTTTCAGTGGTCACCCACTACAATATACATAATCGGGAAATACTCCGAAATTTTCCTTTTTCGCCTGGGCCCAGTAGGAGTATAGCCCGGTCAAATATTTCGGCCTTTGTAGAACTTCCATCCCAGCCCATAGTAGCCCACACACCTCTCTATGGTATAAAAACTCAAGCTGAACCAGCCCCAACCCTAGTTTCACATTTCCTCTCTTCGTTCCCTTC